CCCCCCCCCCACCTTCCTCCCTCCCAGCGCTTCCCCCGCCGCCAAACAGCTGTTTGGTGGTGCTTAGGACTTTCTGGGAGGGAGGAAGCTGCCCCCCCCACCCGGAACGCAGGGGCTTTAAGGGCTGCAGGGCCCTGGGCTAAGGGGGCCCCAGGGCCCTGGCCTGTAGCTCTAAAGCCCCTTTCGGAATGCGGTCCTGCGAGCACGGGCCGGAGGACTCAGGAGGAGCAGGGGCAGCCGCACAGCTAGCAGCCGGAGAGAAGCGGCGCTTTCCTCTTCAAAGCCGACCGGAGAGAAGCGGCACTTTGAAGGGGAAAGCGCCGCTTCTCTCTGGCTGCTGGCTGTGCGGCTGCCCCTGCTCCTCCTGAGTCCTCCAGCCCATGCTCACAGGGCCGCATTCCGAAAGGGGCTTTAGAGCTACAGGCCAGGGCCCCCTTAGCCCAGGGCCCTGCAGCCCCTAAAGCCCCTGCGTTCTGGGTGGCCCTGCCTGCCGGTGTGGGGGACAGCTCCCAGAATCGCAGCCATGGGGGCGGTGCGGCACAGCACCACCTGCACACCCCCTGCACCAAACAGGAGCTGCACCTCCTGCCTGCCCCACCCCTGAGCCTCCTCCCGCACCCCCACCCTGAGTGCCCTCCCGCACCCTAACTCCCTCCCAGACCCTGCACCCCCACGCTGAGCACCCTCCCACACCTTAACTCCCTCCCAGACCCTGCACCCCCAGCCCTGAGCCCCAGGGGTAAGCCAGGGGCACCTCCCCACAACAGTACAGTACTGTACAGAATATAATGCTTTTTGTCTGCCCCCCAAAAATTTCCTTGGAACCTAACCCCCCACATTTACATTAAATCTTATGGGAAAATTGGATTCGTTTAACATCGTTTCACTTAAAGTTGCATTTTTCAGGAACATAACTACAACGTTAAGTGAGGAGTTACTGTACTTTTAATGGTCCACCCCCAACTAATGTCTGCATGTTGTCTAGTTTTGATCATAAGGGTTTTCTGACAGGGAGATAGAAGAAGAAAATGAATAAAATGAGCAAGAATCTCTTTATACCTGGAAGGTTGGAATGATTTTCATTACTTAGAAGCTAGGGGCCTGATTCACCACTCATTTACACTTGTGTTGATCAGGACTAACTCCAGTGAAGTCAGTGGAGCTACTCTGGTGTCAGACTAGTGTAAGAGAATCTGGTCTTAAGGCTGCAATTCTTTCTGCTGGTCTGCATAGGTAGCCTCCTTCAATAGGCCTCAATATGGGGAAACACGTCTGCTACTCTGCTCACGTGAGCAGCTCTTGTGATTTGTGCCAGACTGCACAACGGAGAGCTGAAATATGGCTTGACAATAACTAGGCTTGGCAGCATTCCACTTTAACTGATAACTGTCGGCAAACATCGATTTCAGCTGACACACTGAAATTGGGGGTGTGGGGGAGGAAGAATCAATTGGTAACAGTCGGTGCCTGCAGGGATTGGGTGCCACTGGCCCAGTGGCAACGCAGGGAGACCTCTGTAGCTCTGCTGTCATGGGAGTGAGGGAGCAGATGCAGAACAGCGCGGCTGTATAGGGCTGCCTCAGGGCCAGTGAAACCCAATCCCTGCAGGCACAAAGTGTGGGGGGAGGCAACTATCTTGGCGGGGCCAAGCAGAGACCCCCCCCAGCCAGGACTGCGAGGAGGAGGACTAGGAGCCCCTGGCCATGGGGGAGGCCACTCCACAGCTGAATAGCTCCTGCTAAAATGCAGGGAGTCCTTTGCAGCCCCGCTGTCACGTCCGCTCTGCCCTGCCAGGACGGCAGCCTTGCCCACACCTTGAGCCTGCAGGGATCGGGTGTCACTGGTCCTGTGGCCATGCAGGTAGCCCTCTGCAGCTCCACGGTCACGGGTATGAGAGAGAGTGGGGCTGTGAGAGTGGAGCAGCAGAAGGCTCCCTGCATTTATGTGGGGCCAGTGACACACTCAGTCTAATCTCCACAGACAGAAGGTGTTGGGGAGGCTGTGGTCGTGTTGGCCCAGTGGGAGGGGAGGTCACTCCACTGCTGAGCAGCTCCTGCCCAGGGACAGCTCCCACACTCCTGACTGGTGTGTGAATGGGGCAGTGACACCTGATCCCCACAGGCACAAAGTGCGGGAAAGGCTGCAGTCCTGGCCCAGTGGAGCAGAGACCCTCCAGTCAGCACTCTGAGGAGGAGGAGGAGGAGGAGGAGACCACCCTGTTGCTGAATAGCTCCATGTCCAGGTAGGAGCCATTCAGCAGCAGAGCAGCCTCCTCTGTGGCCGGGGATGCATCCTCCTCTGCGCAGCCTGGATCCCAGCCTTCACCAGTCTCTTGTAGCTGAACTATCGACTGCCAATGAACTGACAACATTGACCAGCTCAGTTTGTAGCAGCTGAACAAAGTTAATATTTGACAATTGCTGCAGATTGTGCCCTAAAACATTAAATGTAATACTACATAGCTTTAGTTTTGCTAGCATATAATTTTACTTACAATTTACAATGTTTAAAAACATTGACAATTTCTGCTTTCATAAATACTATTTCTATTGATATATATCATGGAATCCAGAAGTCCGTATTTTAGCAAGTGGTACTCACCTGGCCAGGTTCTGATGGGCTTTTGATTTGCAATTTAAAGCAGCATGGATCAATAGCTGGTTGAAAACATCCCTCTGACAAGAGAAGTCACAAAAATGAACATAAGTTAATATTTAGTAATAAATGCTGCAAGTAACAATTGCTTGGTTTCTAGGGGCTGGGTAAACCCATCCAGGAGGGATCTACTTCTCCCAACAACATTAAGCAGCTGAGACACAGTATTTATTATTTGTAAATTTGTCTCAATTATCACAAATTTAGAAAAGGAAAACTAAAAGGGAAGTGTAAACAAGCCCTACCCAAATGCAATTAAAAAAAACCCCTTCAACCCCTTTACCTGAGCATTGCTGCCTCCGATCTGTAAGAGCTGGTAGCGAATTGGATAAAGTAATTCTACTGTCTTGTCATAATTTCCATTGTCAAACTCTACCAAAGCCTGGCAAAGTGGCAACCCCAACTTCGGAGCTAGATCCAGCTCATGGTCTTCACCAGGTGCTCTGCAGAACAGGAAAGGAGTTAACTGCCAACTAAGCAGAAGGTCAGACTGCAGCACTTGTATTCTTTAGTGCTGCTCTGTCATCTCCTGCAGCATGATACTGTCGGCACAAGTTAGTTTCACTGAGTTTAAGGAACAGTGCTACACGGAACCAAATCAAACACACACTCTGCTAAACACACACATTTTGCTAAATAAATGTGGAGGTTACTTACATTACAGTAACTGTGTTCTTAGAGATGTTTTATCCCTAAGGATGCTGCTCTGCAGGATGTACATGCGCTTGTGCACGCTCAGAGACTGCAAAGTAGTTTGCAGGCCTGCACAGAGCAGTGCCTTGTGTTTTGAATGAGGGTATATAAGGAGGTGCAAGCTGGCTGCCACTCAGTTCCTTCTTGACCATGAAGCCAGAAGATCCACAGCAGCGTGGAAGGATGGTGAAAGGTGGAGCACTCATCAGAACAAAACCTAAGAACTCAAGTTACTATAAGGTAAGTAACCGCTCCTTCTTCGAGTACATGTCCCTGTGGGTGCTCCATGGTTGAAAACTCCCAAACAGTGACTGAAGTCCAGTACAGTTTGTAGGACTGCATCACCAAAGGTGGTTCATCTTTGGCAGAGGTAAGACGGCATAATGCTTGGCAAAAGTATGGACAGAAGACCAAATAGCAGTCCTGCAGATTTCTGCTATGGGAACATCCTTCAGTAGAGCTCCAGAAGTGGACTGAGTGCCAGTGGAATGTGCTGTTACTCAGGAAGGAGGCTGCACACCAGCAGGTCAAGATGCAACCCAAAACCCACTTAGACAGCTTTCGGGTGGAAATTGGTTTGACCTTTCTTCATTTCTATGAATGACACAAATAACCCAGGAGAGGCCCAAAGGTTTTAGTCCTGTCTAGATATAAGGCAAGGGCTCTTTTGATGTTCAAGGAATGGAGGCATACGGTTTTGGGCAGAACACTGACAGGGGAAGCTCCTGGTTAACATTATATTCAAAGGACACCCTTGGGAGAAAGTGAGGGGGGCATCGTATGAGCCTCTGTCAGGGTACATCTGGCCCACATCCATCCAGGGCTTCTCAGTCTTTGCCCACCCTATCGCAGCCAGATTCCTGAAGGGTCTACACAACATGTTTGCTTCGATTTGACACCCAGTTCCACAGTGGAACCTCAGCCTGGTTCTAAATGCCCTAAGGAGAGCCCTCTTTGAACCAACGGCTGTCTGCTCCCTTCCCCACCTCTCCCTCAAAACTTCATTCCTAATTGCCATCACCTCAGCAAGATGAATGGGGGAGCTGGGAGCGCAGATGGCTGACCTACCATACACCACCTTTTATAAGGACAGAGTTATACGAGGCGCAGAGATCGGAATAGTGTTAATGCCCTGGACATTGCCAAGTGGACCTCTTGGGCAACCGGCCTCTGAGAAGCCAGTTGTCCAAGTATGGGAATACCCATAGTCCCCAGTGGCAGAGGCAAGTGGCTGCCACTGAAAGAATCCTTGTGAGCGTCCTCAGGGCTGTGGACAGTCCAAAAGAGAGAAAACTCAATATTTACAGTGATCTGCCCCTATTACAAAACACAGAAAGTGCTTGTGTGAGGGGTGGGTGGCTACATGAAAGTAGGTGTCCGGTAGGTTGAGGGCAATGAACCAGTCTCCTGGATCTAAGGATGGGATTATGGTAACTAGTATCACTGTTCTGAAGTGTTGTGCTAGGACACAGTTGTTCAAGTTCCTGAGGTCAAGAATTGGTCTCCACGCTACATCTTTCTTGGGAACAAGGAAGTAACAGGAATAGAACCTTCTTCCAATGAACTCTAGTGAACCTGGCTCTATTGCTCCCAGGACAAGAAGAGAATGAACCTCTTATCTTAGGACTTCCTCATGAGAAGCATCCCTAAAGGGGATGGGGAGGGAGGAGTGGAATGGAAGTGAATAGAGTAACCCACTTTGACAACCTCCAATATTCACTTGTCTGAGGTGAGCGATTCCCAGGCTGGTAAGTAGTGGGACAGTTGGTCTCCAAAAGGCAGGGTAGTCACACAATAATTGATCCGATGGAGTGGGCTGCTTGATGCCTTCAACTGAGGTGTCAAAAGTGCCTTTTATAGGGAGTGTCTGGTTGAGTGGCCCCCATTTTTGTGGTTTCAGCAGTCTCCAGAAGCGCTCCTGAGACTTAGGGAAAGTGTGCTGATGGTACTGGAATGATCTTGATCTTTGAGCAGTTTGGGATCTACTAAAGTGCCTTTTAATCACAGGCACATAAATCCCTAGTGACTGCAACATCGCTCTGGAATCTGTGTGTGTATGGAGGGAGGAGTCTGTGTGTTCACTGAAGCACTTAGGCCCTTTAAACAGCAGGTCTTCCATGTTATTCTGTACTTCTCTTGGAAGACCCAAGGACTGGAGACAGGATGCTCTTCTCATGATCACCACCATGGCCCTGGAGGCTGTCTCAGCCGCAGTAGACCAGCTGGTAGGAAGTCTTTTGCAACCAGGGGATAAACTGAATCTTTCTGGTCTTGTCACAAGTGCTCAACAAAGTGTGTAAACTTGGAGTATGTGTTAAAGTTGTGTTTTGCCATTCAGGCTTGGTAGTTGGCAATACAAAATTGGAGAGCAGCTGCTGAGTAGCTCTTCCTCCCAGCAAATCCAGCCGCTTGGATTTCTTGTCATATGGAAAAGGCCTAGAGAAAGATTGGCTGCTTCTCTCGTTGGCTGCATTGACTACAAGAGAATTGGGGCTGGGGTGGGAGTAGTACTCCATTCCTTTCGGTGGGATGTAGTTTGAGGTGATGTGCCTTGAGAGCTAGGGGCTACAAGGTTCAAACTCACGCGCTGATCGTCAGAGCCCTGAGTGCATGGGACCCCAGCAACGCGCGAGTGTTCAGAGAATACGGAATCGGTCAACGCTACGCTCAGCTGATGTGGCAACTCATGGTGTCAGATGCCATCAGGTGGTCAAGGGACATCTATCTAGAACACACCACCGGACATCGGCAATACCAGGAGAGATGAGCTGGAGTGCCGATGAGAAGTGCAGTCGGGAAAGTAACTGAAATACTTCCCTGATGGATTGCATCTTCTAACAGACAACCTATCCTAAATTCTCAATTATTGAGGGACAATCTTCACTTATTGATATATTTGCTTTCCACAACCAACTCTCTGTATAACTTTTCATGAGTGATGTACCCGAATATTTGGATGCTAATATCTAAATTGTATCGTTAAATTTATCTTATTTGGGTTATTGCTGATTATGTACTATATGTATTGTATTACTTTTAAACCAACCTTTGTACTTTTGGATAATTTAAGCACTATACCCAGCTGTACAGACACTCTTTTCTTAACCTATGTATTATATAATTTTAGCATTAGCTTTAATAAAATTTCTTATCTGCCCACTTACACGTTAATAGCATTATGGCAGATGTTTGCCATAGGGCGTATGCGGGCGATAACAATGCCTCATTGATGGGTTAATATTCACGATGGCCACCAAGGAACATTTCAACTCCTGGATTTCCTCAAATGGGATTTGAAGAGAATCCACTAGCCTCTTCATGAAGTCCTGAAAGGCTTTGAAATCACCAGTGTAGGACTGCAGTGGTGGCATTATTGCCTCATCCAGAGATGACCTTACAGAGGGAGGTGAGATGTACTTGACCTGAAACTCTTCTCTTCCTGTATATCATCTGGTACCTGAGAAGTGCGCAGTACCGTGATGTACAGTACCAGAGGACAGTCTGCAGGTACAATACCAATGACTTTTTCTCAGGTATCCAATAGTACTGGTCACTGTAGGGATCCTCTGAGTCACAGCAACCCCACTGGGGAGGGGGATAAGGGAAGGGACTCCAATGAAAACCATAGTCACTGAGCCTATGGTATTTGGTAGTACCCTAGAATCCTCTTCATGAAAGGGACTCAGGTGAGTAGGATAGTATGGTACCAGGATAACATCCTGTACCGAGATCTCTGAGTCCCACGAATCCTCCTCTGAGCTAAAGGGGGGTGGCTCTCTATTGTCCTAACCAGGCTGGTGACTTAAGCAAGTCTCAACTTGCAGCTGTCAGGGTGGCACTGGAGAGGTGGCTCTAATAAATCAACTCAGTATTGGAGACTCAGGCTCATCAGAGATTATGAAATCCTCTGAAGAAAGGAACCTGGAAGGAGGTGGAGGTCTCTGATAGCCTTCAGACAAAGTGTGTGTCGGTACTGGAGGTGGAAATGCTGACTGGTGAGACGGAGGCTGTTGCAGTACGGAGGTGGTTGTAGAATCATCTCCCACCTTAGATGTACACTGAGCTGCCGGTGCTGGGGCATAGATGATACCTTGCAGTGCTGCTATACACACAGGGCTGTCAGTGGTGCAACCGTGGCGGTTACTCTGGTGGTAGGTATGTTGTCCAAGTGGGGCTTCTTCCACAGTACCAATCCCTCCGTTCCGGACTCAGTCGGTGCCTCTACTGTACCCTTACAGTGACAAGAGGTCTCCCGAGAGCGGGTTTAATGGTTTATACCTCTCCAGGCAGGGAAAAGGAGTTTGTTTCTTCTTTCAAGTTTTATTTTCTGGGGCCATAACCAAGACTACAATGGAGACCAAGGCGACCTGTGACATAGAGACCAATGCATGAGTGGGGGGGAGCAGACCTCTCCAGAGTTAGATCATGTTCTATTAACAGGAACTTACGTCTAATTTCCCTGTCTTTTTTGACTCTACCCTTTAAACCCAGACAAACCTTTCATTTAGAAGGATCCTGGGAGTCCCCCAAACACCACAGGCAACTTGAGTGTCTGTCACTATGGGGAAAGGACTGATGGCAGGTCTGACAGGGCTTAAAACCTGGGGGTTTGGGCGTAACAAGTTGTGCTCTGGCACAAAAGAAAGGTCAATAAAGAGAGGAGAAGTCAGGAAGCCCTCCTTGCCCCTGCAAGCACAATAGTGCTAAATAAAATAAAGAGTAACCAAATGAAACTAAATAGAGAAACTATAAAATAATGAAGTAAATAAGAAATTAAGGATTCCCAAGGTGAAAGGCAGGAAGCTGAATGCTGCGGACAGCAGAATGCTCCACCTTGAGCTGCAGGTGGTTGAGAAGGAACTAAGTGGCAGTGGCCTCACATCTCCTTATTTGTCCTCATTCAAAGCACAAGACACTGCAGTGCGCAGGCGCTGGCCCATAGACGCTACTTTGCAGTCTCTGATCAAGAATGCCAGGGAGTGCACATATCCTTTACTGAAAATCCATGGGGACATATACTCAAAGAAGAACCTTATTTGCTGTAACTTTAAAAATTCTGAAATCTTAAGTATTTTAATTGGACAAGTGAAAACATCCTTTCTATAACCTCTTTTGACCTGAGTAGTTAGCCAATCATCAGGGGCCTTGCAGGTTGTTTCCATTCAGAGGAGATATTGATGATAAATAAGGCTAAGATTCAGTCAGGGGTATTTTTAGTAAAAAAGTCATGGACAGGGCACAGGCAATAAACAAAAAGCATGGCCCGTTACCTGTCCCTGACTTTTACTATAAATACCCCTGACTGAATCTTAGCTGCTCTGGGGGCCCCCGGGCACCGCTGCTCTGTGGCTCCAGGGGGACCGATGCTGGCCCCTGCTCCGGTGGCTCACTGCCTCCAGGGACCGCTGCTGCTCCAGAGTTAGCTGCCCGGGACCGCTCGAGCAGCAGCCAGTGTTGCTGGCCCCAGGGGCGCCCCAGCAGCTGGCCCCGGGGCCGCCCCTGCAGGGGTCAACCACGCTGGCCACTGCAGCTGCAGAAGTCATGGAGATCCTGGAAAGTCACAGAATCCGTGACTTCCGTGACCTGCAGGACAGACTTGCAGCCTTAATGATAAAGTCAGATATTTCCTGATGCAAACCTGTTTATTAACAAGAATGTACACAGAGTCCTGTTTCCCTCAACACAATAGGAAACGAACATACAACAGAAGCCAGTTTTTTTGCTCCATATTCCCAACCTCTTTTTCCAGCCAACCCAGCACTCTACCCAGAAAGCGCTCTCAGATTTTTCTCAGAGTCATGCTACAAGTGCTTTTCTGGATGTCCTTGGCTTTTTGATTGCCTTCTCTGTCAGAGTGCTGCTCACACCCACCCACCCACCAATATCCAGCAAACCTTTGCATCCACAAAGCTCAGTTTCTGACCAGCTTTGGGCAATGGCTCCTGTTGTTTCAGTTATCTTATTCCAAAAGGAGCCTAACTGATTCTTACATTATCCTGAATAAAAGGCAGGTTTTACACCCAGCAACTTCAACAGATTTCACCCCACCCCAGCACAACACAATGGAGAATTTTGTTTGCACACTGATCCACCCAAGAGAGGGGAAGAGTCAACAGGTTAATGACCCAGTAGAACAGATTATTCATTAATCCAGTTTATTACCAATTCCCAGTATAAAACAAAGGGAAACGAAATTAAGCTGTGCCTGTCTGTCTGTCTTATGGAATATAGGTTTCTGTATAAAATTTAATTTGTATAGTTATCTGTTGTCAGTTGAAGCATTTTCTTAGCTCTAGATTTGTTAGTATATGACCATTAGAAATCTTTATAACTACATAAAACAGCTTAACCCTGTGGAAATGGAATGCTAAATTTATGCTACTGAATTTGATGAAGGAGCGAACAACAAATAGCTGAGAGACAGTACTCCTAAACTACTTGGAATGTCAGCTAGTTGGCCCAGGACTCTCTTTTTGTTTTGTTTTTGTACAGCAGGGTCCTGTTTCATGACTAGGGATTCTAGGCACTATAATACAAATGAATAATGATAAAGAGGCACACTACGTTTATGAAAACTCAGAAGGTAAAAATGTATATGCAATGTACAGCTGCAAGCAAAGAGAATATACAAATATATCTTTAAAACCTTCAAACTCATCCCATGTCTATAATAGAAAGTCTTGAAAATATAGAGCAGGCTGTTGGTTGCTTAGAATTTTATGGTTATCTAAACAAATACAAATAGTTTCTAAAATAGGTAATGTAACTTATATTCTTGACATGAGCAACTAGTCCAGTTTAATACATCTTGGCTTAGTAAACATCAAGTTTAACTGGATATTTAGTTTTTCAAATATGCCTATTCATATCAAGATATTTTTACTTTATTTACATTATAAAGCATAAGTGTTATAATGGTTCAAACTATTGCACTGCACAGCAATTACAACAATGACAATGTTACAATAAAAGATGTAAAGATAGGCAGACAAGCAGAGCAAAGTACTGTAGCACTGGGTGAAGGGTTAGCAGTACTAAGTGTAAACTCATTAAATGTTCTACAAAATATCCATCCACTAAAGTTTAAGTTCTACAGCTCAGACAGTAGAAAAGAAAAAAAAGTCCATCATGATCTGCTAGTAGTAGGCAAACCAGATTACGCGGTTTTTCAACTCTACATTTCTCACATTTTCTGCTTGATCTCTTAAAGCCTCAGTGGATCATATTCACAGAATGTGAATCAGAGTTGTTCTGCAACTTTATGTCCAAAACAAAAATCGGTCACACTTGATATTAAGGTTCCATTTCTAAAAAGGGTAGCAGGCATTACTCTTTTTTTGGAAGATTGTTAGTGATTCCAAGAGTTCAATACGTTGCTTATAACCATGACTCATCTAAAACACTTTCTACTGTGCTTATAATCATCTTTAACACATAACTCTGTAACATGCTTTTAACATCATTTAATCACATAGTAACCTTTTATACACCATTTATAAATGGAACCATAATATAAAGGCCCTATCATTTTTCTAATGCTATGTATAAACCAGCTCTATTTTTACTAAGCTGTGTGTAGGGTGGGGGAGGGTTGTTGTTTTTCTCCCTCCAGAATACTCTACTCTTCTGCAAACTGAAAGACAAATCACATGCTCTCCCTTTTTTTTGGAAGTGAAAACAGCTGCCATTGTAGGTGGCTACCTATTTGCTAGCCCTGTCCATTTCAAAGTGTTCTGAGGTACCTTTATGCCACAAATGTCTTGCATCTGGCCCCAAAAGGTAAGAAGTAAAAAGCACCAATTGGCTCAGATTGTACTCTGAAGAAAGAAGGGAAATCAGTTTCACCCACCGAAAATTTGTGTACATAAAACAAAATCAGGAAAAATGTAAGAGTGGATTGTCATTCTCATACTGCCTGTGATGGTGATCAATAGCAAAATAAGAGCAAGAAATATTTTTTTTTCCATACATAAACAAGGATGTGATAAATATTTTTCTATTTTGATGAAATACAAAAATATTAAAATTAGTATTGAAGAATCAAACTGCCAAATCTTAGCAAAATTATTTTGGCAGCAGTTTAAACTCCATTTCATGTAAAAATGATAATTTGTTGTATACCTATAGCAAATATAGGATTATCAATATGGACACTTTATAGATATCTGGTAATGAATACAGAACAATGTTTTAAATTGATGCAGCAGAGCAAAAAGGGCCCTTATAGGTAGTTGGCTTATTTTGTAAAGTTTGTTCACTACTTTACAAGAGAAATGCCTCTGTTCAGCAATGAACACTTACATCCCTAGTATATACCATTGTAAGGAAAACAACCCTGTTTACAGGTTAAGATGCCACAACCACTCAAAGCAAAAAACCTACAGTGCTGGGATGAGAATGCTGTTCTCTGACAAGATTAAATACACACTCTAGACAATTACACACACTCTCAGTAAAAAGTAACCATTAGGAAATCCTTATTGTATAACTTCAGAGACAACACCCTGCTGAAACCAGAGTTCAAGTTATAACAGCCTAAACCAAAAAAAAAAAAAAAAAATATTATGGTACCTAGCAAACTGGAAGCAATTAATTATAATACTAATAAACCTTGTAATGGAAAAACATGTATTCAGAACAACATTTTAATTCACTTACTTACTTTGCAAGTTCCTGAAGAGTTGTTAAGAGCTCATTGGTGGTTTTGTGGTCTTTGGCCCCTAGCGAAGACATGAGAATGTGGACATCATTGAAAAACAGAACATGATCTTTGGAGTGTTTCTTTGTGAGTTGGATAACTTCATTCCACCTGTCTCCTACCTTTACACCTAGGAGTAAAATATGTGATTTAAAATAAGACTCCACTGCAAAGCAATTTCTTTAGCATATATTTCCAGTTTCATTCAGCCTTGTAAGCTTTAAAAACCACCTCTCAATACAGCAGACTTTGTAAACTACCACTCAGTGTCATATCTCCCACTTTTGAGCAAGTACTTTATTGCTTATCTCCAAAAACACCTTCGGTCACTGATGTCCTGGACCCCTTTAGATAAGATTCATGGGATAGATGACTTCCCCCGAACACAGATGAAGGAGGATAATGCCCACAGTTGTCATTCTGGATTTGTCTGTGGCATTTGATTACTAATACTTGACTGTATATATAAATATGTGCAGCATGACTGGCTGTAGCAGAGTTCTGTGAAAATTATTATTTACAATTTAGGAACTAGTATTTTTTTCTGGAACTCTAACTTCATCTTTACTTTAGAAAGTAAAAACTCTGCTGGCTGTATATTTAGTCTCATGGAACTGTTCGAATGATGCAATACCTATAGTGGACTACTTATTTCAAATATCAAAATTAAGAACTAAATATTAGTGTTGGCTTGATATTGACTATAAGAGCAGCCAATAGCTGTTTAACAGTTTATATGTATGACCTTTTAAACTGAGGCTGAAAAACAGATCTCTGGGGACAGAGAAAGTGAAATTTGCCAAAAAAGAAGAACGTGATCTATGTTAACTTAGTTGAATGGAACTCTGTACTCACAGGAAAGTAAACTCTAGGGAGAAATAATGGTAATGCATGTTAATAGAAACTTAAAACTCAACTCCCAAGAACAGCAGCTCTTTCAAATATTTATTCTCTAAAATAACCCACTGCTCAGAGTTGCTCTATATATTTTTGTAAATCTTCTTCTGCATGTTGGAGCACAAGGAGGAGTTTTATCTTACCATTTTAAGAAGAACAAGTAGAATTGAAGTAAAAACTAACAGTTCTTTACCTTCCAACTGAAGTCGGTACAGCATGGAGCAGTTATCTACTACATCTAGCATACTTCCACTTGACATGCATCTGGGAGCAATCTGCAATCAGAAAGCATTCTTAAACTGCATTACATATATTTAGGTGGGAAGTTAATTTGAGAGTCAAACTTACTATGACAGTTCAAAATTACTTCTGTCTCTTTACTCTTCCAGATAGAGCTATTTTGTAACAATCCTAATCACATCTTTCAGAAATACAACAATCCACACATAATATTCATATTATTTTCTCTCTGTTGTTTTCCCATTTATAAAATCAAATACAGTGAGTGTGAAAACTGCTTTTTCCTATGAGCTCTGGTTTCCCAAAATGGAGCCATAAGTTCTACTATACTTTGCAACAGTTACTAGGTAGGACAAGATATTTTTGTAAAGTTTAACACCAAAACAGACTTGTTATGCTGACTCCTAGTTAATTTACTGTGAATTATTTTAGAAAAATTCCTCTAAAGTTCACGCAGGAGAGAACTTCAACAAGTCACCTAAAAAGGAAAAAAGACATGACAAAGGAAGTTGGAGCCAAACTAGTAACTGGCTTGGTAGTTAATCTGTGAGATCCAGTCTTAGTCATGATACCTTAGACCTATACAAAAACTATTTTACAAAATGTTAAACTTTTAAAAATTATCTATATTTTTTTCTGGTGCCCTTAAGGCTTCTTCATAGCAACTAAGACAATGTGACTAAAGATAACAGGATATGAAAGTGGTACCAATAAAAATAATTGGAAAACACTAAAAAAATTAGTAGTTTCTAAAATGTGGTCTGAACAAAATATAAATATGATGATGTGATAGAAAAGGTTTTTTTGGCACTGGTTTAGGATGACCTGTATAACTCGTATGTAATTTTCCCAGTTGAGTTGAATAATTTCTCTAAAATGCCAATTAAACACTTAAAAATAAAACCAGAAAATGGTATCACACCTTTATATATTTTGTGTCATATGAAGAATGAGGCAGGTGCACCCTCTCTCATTGGAAGTTTGTTTAATTAAAACAAAATTGATTTAGACTCACATGATTGTCATAAATTGTCAAAGCCGCTTCATAATCACCCTGTAAAAGCAAAGGAGGATTGTGTGATGACCTTTAGGATACAGTATCCATATTATTTCTTCTTCTTCCCAATATCTAATCTCAGTATCTGAAAAAAGAGCTCCCGAAATCATCCTACATAAAAACATAGTACGTATTGCAACCCAATACGCTCGATAGAAATATGTTTGTAAAGGGTTTCAATACATCTGAAATACTTTTAATAGGGAGAATTTAACAACATAAAATCTCTGATTCTTTAACATAATGGCCCTATTGGTCAGTCTCAGGTAATTTTTGCAAACTCCAGCCCCTTACGTTCTTTTTGCTGGCAAACTCTGTATTGAATTCAATGGGAATTTTGCATATGCAAAGATTACAGAACTGGGTTCATCTTTCTATCACAAAATTAGTGAATTTGCTTTTAATGTAATATTTAATTGTCTCATCTCAGTAATTTCTCTGCATTCCCGTACAGATTATTTTAGATTTTTTCCTTCTAAAATATCACTTTTGAAAACACTTTAGTAAAGCACCAAACACCACAAATTATACTGCAGTATATTCATAAATACAGCCAAATATTAAGAAGGGAATAAAGCAGTCCATACCCTTTTGCTCAGGACTGCCTGCTAATATGAGACTATTCATCCACCTGGAGCATACAGCATATAGATGTAAAAGTGTGCTCCTACCTTTTCAATGAAATACAAAGCCCAGTGCCAATAATTATGGCAAGCAAGCATGTCACAGTCCTGAGAAAAGAGAGAAAATATTTTACTTCCAATATAAACTCATATTCCAGCTGATTTTATATGGCACTCTTCTCCTGCAATAAATCAGAGGGCATAATAGATCAGTGGATATTGGAACCAAGGAGCATACATGATTGTTCCATTCTGAAAACTAACTATGGAACGCTCTTATTCAATACACTTGCTCCTTGTGGGTAGAGACACACACAAATATGGAATCTCACAATACAAGTTCTACAGAGCCACTTTTCAGAGCAGAACTGCATTTTGACTCAGACTCTACCTCATTCTGCAACATCTTTATTGGAAAACCTCCAAACTGACAGGACTAATTTCACACCTTTCTGTCCAGCCACAAGCTGACAGCCGAAGGTCAAATACTCCTCTCCATCACACTGGCACAAACCCATTGGAAACAGCAGGCTTCCACCAATGTAACAGCCAAGAATCTGCGTCAACAATACATCTATGACAACTCAAATAAGCACAAAAATCACAAAGACTCTAAACCCCCCTATTCCTGCACAGCGGGGCGGTTAAAATTCATCTTATCACAAGGAGGACAATGTGCTCATTTAAGAGGTGACCACTGCAATATAAACCTCTGAGAAGCACATGTGTTCTCAGGATGTCAGCATTTTATGATATTTACATAAGCCAGTAGTTTATCATCACTTGTTTAATATTAAGCTGCAAAAGGACTACTGAGTCAGGTGGTTACGCGTCGGACATAAAAATGACATTACTAAATTCGGCCTATACAATAATCTGTCTCAAATGTCATGCAGGTAAGATTATTGGGTCCCCCTCCATGAATAAAACATAGCTGCTTAGTGCTGCCAATTATGAGTGTCATACACAATTAAACTGTAATTGCCCAAGGCAGTGCAGTCCTGTGGGCTGCTCTAATTCAGAGGAAGGAAAAAAAGGGCAAACTGCTTTATTTCATTAGTGGATCAGTTTGGGTGAAGAGAATAAAACAATAATACAGAGCCAAGCAGCTCCTGAATGTATTGGTCAAAATAAAACTAACCAGCAAGAAAGTCCATGCAAAATCTACACCTCTCTTGCTGGGGAGGATAGAAGGTAAATTTTCAAAAGCACCTAAGTGATGTAGGCACCTAAGTCCTATTTCCAAAAGTGAACTAGCACTTAGGCCCCTAAGTCACTTAGGTGCTTCTGAAAATGTTACTCAAATTGTCTATGGTTACATTTTTAGGGTGTTCTTGTTTGTTTGGGTTTTTTTGTTGTTGTTCTGTTAAAGTCATTCTGCCAGGGGGAATTTAAAAAGCGCTTTCTAAAATGACATCCCTGAACTTTGAATGAGCACTCAGAAAGATTTCTGTTTATAGTTCCAATCGTGATATTCCTAATATTTCTAACTTAAAAAAACAACCCAAAAACATTTTAGACCGTTTTTATACAACTCTGCTCCTTGTGTATAGTGGAACTCTCTAGTGCTTGGAGGGACAGTATGTAAAGTGTCTGCCTGTTTGTGTGTTAAGCGATTACACCTACCACATAGCCCCTTGAAGAGGGGCCTGAAGGTTCCCTCTTTCGGAAGGAGTTCTGGGAAAGGGTGTGCTTAAGCTAGGGGGGTACTCTGGAGGTCAGTGGTGGTCTTGGGGGCATAAGTCAAGTGGCCTCTGGGGCTTCGTTTCCACAAAGAGGTAACAGACTGAGAGTTGGTGCTCAGGAAATGTGTCCAAAGAGGGGAAACACTGCTGCAGCCTATTGAGACCAAGGGAAGCTAAACAAAGAGGGGGAATTCACGGACCTCTCCCACAGCAATCTGTTGAGTGTCCAAAAGGCGCACTGGACTAGACCTGCCTGCTAGATGAATACTGTATAAGAATCAAATAACAGCAAAAGGTACAAGGCCCTGCCGTACCAATCGTAGGAGTCCGCAACTGCCCCCTGTTCATTTCTTTACTGAACACCTCTTTTTAAGTCCTTTTCCAAGCCATTTATCTGGTCAGTGTATACCTTCCCTACGGAGTACCTGCACTGGACATCTGCCCTACATTTAAATAATGAGTTGTGACATATGGCCTACCGCCCATCATGTCATGCATGAACAGAGCCCTTCCTGAACCCACTGCGGGGAAGGAGAAAAAAAACCCAACTGCACCCAAGCCAATATGGTGGTAAGGGAAAAATTCCTTCCCAGCCCCTCTAAAAATGGGGCTGTTAGCGTAATGCCCACAGCAGGCACTGACGAAACCTGGTCTTTTTCACCTAAAAGGGAGGGAGGGTGGGTCCTGCTTCAGCCTTGGTCTGTGTAAAAGGATCGCGGCACCGTGCTGCCCCTTTTCAAACCCTGCATTCCCAGGGGATGGGTCAGTGACCACTCTGCCCCTTTTGCAGCAGTTTTCATCTATCCCCTCCCCCACCCAGTCATAAAGCACTATTCCCTTCACTCTCACTCGGCCTGCCAGCCAAACATCCCCCTGCTTAAAGCTGCAGGGCAGTCGTTGCTCAAGATCCAAATCACAAGTGGGATGTAAAATGTTTGACCTACCAACATTGGCCATGTCTCTTTAAGACTTAAAATGTCTAATCTTCTTGTGCTTATGAATTGTAAAACATTTTATATGTAAGATCAGACACTGGTTGAAGACCAGGATTTACCACAATATTTCTAGGTAAAATAAGATGAATTGAGGAGAGGATAGAAATGCTGACCCCACTGAAGTCAATGGCAAAAGAAATTCAGTTTATCTTAATTCTCTTCAAAAGTAAATTAAACTGAACCAAATTAAGACCACTTTGAGAGTGTCCATACAGGCATTTAATACAGTTTAACTAATCCATTTTAAATTTACACCTTTAGTTAATGCAGATTAATTTTTCTGAGATCTCCATGCAGACAAACTCTCAGATTTACACTGGTGTGAAAGAGGAGAATTTGGCCCCTTGTCTGCAATGTTTCATCTCAGGACAAATTCTGAATGGCTGAAACAGAAATCTTAGAATTCTACATCAAGTCTTTATAATGAAAAAGCAGTTCTCAGTTTTTGTTTTCTGGCAACATCTTACACAGGATTCTTACTCTTGGTTTTCTGTTAGGGCTAAATCAGAAGTGAGAATCCTTTGTGAATGGTGCCTTCAGGGAAGTAGAATTACAGGTAAATAATTTTCCATTCTCTTAGGTGTGCTGGAAATCTTAACTTCCATAGATGTCAATGGCAAAATTTGTATTGACTTCAATGAGGCCAGGATTTCATCTATTTCCTTTAAGTGTCTTTATCCGGGCCAAGAAAATAGAACTATTGAGGGAGGAGGGGTAGCTAATTTTTTTTTTTAATTGTGCATTACCAATCTCAGCCATAAGTGCTGAGGCTAATTTTTTCATGATTAATACCCAGAGTGAATTTCTGAAACATAGAACTGTGGTTGCATTTTCTGCCTGTTTCCCAAGTGCCACGAAAAAAGGTTCCACACTGAAGCAGCAGCTTCCTCTTCTTTGTGAAAGTATTCCTGTGCATTTTGTACTAGATCTGATGAAAAGCACGTAAAGAGGAATCACTAGTACTTAGTGGGAGGGGAAAAACCCCACGGCCAGCAATTTCAGAGGAACTGTTAAGGAAATTTACCTTCCAGTTGTTTTCAGTTTGCTTCATAAATGTCAACCCATTCTTCAGGTCTGCTTTCATTTCATTTATGTGTGCTATGGTATGGACAGACCATGCATCTGATTGGTTTATAGCTAAAGCCTGATGGTGGGAAAAGAGAAAACACCATGATGCGTACTGGGTAGATTACAAATAGCTGTACAAACTGTCACTAGTACAGAAATTGAAGACTATTTTCTCAGGTACGGTAGGTATTAAGTATATCTTTGCTATTAACTTCAATCATATCCTGTGAGACTGGTTTCAGCAGAAACGGGAAAAATGTTTACTGGAGTTCACTTGTTGGCATCTGCTTAACAATGATTAAGAGTTACACAGTAGTTTTAGAGAATGAAGGCCTTAATCAAGACCACCAAATTACACTTCATCCTACAAACTCTCCTTACACTTCAGCCTCAGAAGAGTCACGTGGCCAGCACAAAGCCATCCCCACGCCATCCATATGGGGAGCATATGAGCTGATCACTTGCTTTAAAAGAAAATAATAATACAATTCCTTGCAGTTAACCACTTTTCCTATAACAAGAACAAAGGCTCCGCTAGCTTCTGAATATCAGATACATGTATCTTTACCATTCCAACAATTCCCACTCATCTGTAAAATTTTCCCCAATTTCAATTATTGACAATTTAATATAAAATAAAAGATTTAATTTTTGTTATTACTTTCAGCAATCTGACATGTAAAAGCAGTTTGGCAAAAAAATGAACCTTTGAAAATACACCAAGGTGTCAACTGATTCTATTTGTGCTATACTTTACATAGGTTTCTCAAATTACAGGGGCCCTTTGTCATATGGATATGTTGCCAGCTTTTCATTCCCACTGCAAATAATAAGATCATCTTTATAAAGCGTGAATGAGGTATATCCAATTTACCAAGGCATTATACAAGTTGCTCATCAGGTTAACCTACTGATCAGAATACTGCTGATATTCTGTGACCTTCACCAAGATTTGATGGCAAGTGGACACAGATCTCATATATGCTGCATTTCTCAATGACAAGTTTCCATTTTAGTCTCTCCAGCTTGCATAGCAAGATTCTTTCTGATCTCCACTCTCATTCTTCCCCTCCCCCACCAATCTTGAATTAAAAAAGCCAGCAAAAACTGAAGAAAAAGGAGAAATCTCCTTTTCTGAGTTCTTAAAAGCTAACACCTGTAATGGCAAAGTCATTATTATGAGGATGTAGCACAAGAATAGTTATGAATTTCAGTACAGTTGCTTACTTTTGTTTAGTTAATTTTAAATGGTCATAAACCATCTCTCTCAAACAAACATTTGTATACTAAATAAGATTAATAATTTAAAACCTTTTAGTACCAATGATGTCCAGCTTACCTCACTGGCGAGCTTTTCAGCATGATCAAAAAGGTTAGTTTCCATCAGTCCAAAAGAGAAAATGCCTTTCACATAGCTAAACAACAAGAAAAATCCATTTAGCAGTAAGCAGATGAAGCTAATATTGCAAAACACATTAAAATAATTTAATACAAAATAACACTTACACTGTTAGTAGTAATACCAAATAGTGGAAGAAGAGCACAGAATCTAATAGTTTTCCCCTACAAAAATTAGCATATGCAGGAAATGACCAACTTTCTCTTTCCCAGCAAACACTGAGAAGACATGTATTCATGTGTTGTGCCAACTACAAAATCACACAGACCTTTGTAATTGTTATCCAATAGAAAATCAATAGTACTCTATCTTACAACTGTATCCCAGGGCTGCATTTCCCCCTCAGCTCTGCTTCCCTCTTCTGAAGTCCTGCAATTTACCTGACCCCAATGAAGTCAATGGAAGCCTCTTTAGCTTCTGACCTGCTACAGAACTAGTAGATGGCACCAAAGACATATCTAGGATTATACTAACAATTTACAAATTTACCCTAACTAACCTAATTTAAGACTAACTCCCTAAAAAACAGTAACTAAACTAAGCTAGGAAACTAGTTAGCGAGCTGTGGATACAAGGAATCTGAAGAGGTTCATGTCCTTCTGTTGCTACAGTTGGAAGGAACTGATGCAGCACAAAGCACCATGCATCCTTTTATATCCTCACCCTCAGAATGTTCTGGAACACTGAGGGGAAGGAAAGGAAGGGCACATGAGTGGTTCTATCTGGAAATGCTATGAGAAGGTTTCACCATCTAGGCTGTACCGGCTGGCACATCCCATAAGTGGAAAAACATGGAGGACATTCAAAGAAACAGCTCAGTTAAAAACAATTGAACAGTGGGTCAGTAGGAATGCAAGAAGAGATGTTAATTCTTACATGCATATTTTTAAAGCCAGGTTGGTTATTTAGAACTCCCTTATCTGTCCTCAGATAGAGATTACAGGAACAATCAGGGTTTGTGTGCTGCCCCTACAGACATTGCTGACCAGAGACATCTGAATTTATGCATACAAAGCACATGCACACCAGAAGTAGAGATCCACAGACATCATCTGAAGATCAACTCTTGCATACCTACTAAGTGGAATATTAGGTGTCCAGTGAGGATATACACGGGCAACAGAGTCTCGCATCTGTGTTTGATATCCCAGATAAAAATAAGTGTCATGGGCAAATTTTAGAGCTAACATGTCAGTTGGATGGTCCTGCAGAATCTTATCCCATATGTCACAAGCTTTAGGAAGACGCCTAGAGAGAAAAACACATATTAATTATTGACAAGGCCAGCATAACCAAACTGCCTGAATCTAATATTATTTCTAAATTTATACTACTGTGGCAAGTGGGAAATCTACTGACAATTCCCTAGCTTGCAAGAATACTTCTGAATTCTTAGTATACATGATTGCACCATGAAGACAGTTGAACACTTTCTAGACAACCCGTATATGGTATTCTTTGTTTGTTACTAGTAATGCACCTCAACGGGGAGAGGGGAGGGAGTTCCTTTTAGGCCCTGATCCTGCATGTTGATCCATGTGGGAAGACCATTACCTCTGCAGAGAGCCTCACTAAAGTCAATGTGGCTCCACACAGGTATTGGGGTCCAGCCATGCAAACCAAACACCATGGGTCAGAGCTTTAGTGATCTCATTTCTTACCTTTGTTATCAAATACTTTTACTGCTAATATCTCCCATGTGGATAATAAACAAATAACAAAAGTTAATAGGGTTTGATATTGTCTAGAGAATACGCAAGCTCAATATATTCCTGTAAACATTCAATTCCCCAAAGTCCTCATTTTCGTGGAGGGCTTCCAACACCTTGAAACAGTCTATAAATGGAATAATAAGACAAGACTGTTGTATTTTTGCTTCTACAATCCAAGTCTGTGGAAAGTTAGGCTCAACGTTTAGAATGGCCAAAGATTTAGCCTCTTGAGTGGTTTTAGTTTTAAATCGTTATTCCAATAGTGGAATTATTGGTAGGTTTTAAAATACAGAAGACTTTAAACTAATTACATGTAATATACTGGCATGATAGAAATATTTTTCATTATAGTATTGTTGGCTAATTAGATGCATATAGTTTGGGAGAGCTAAACTTAAGAACCAGTTTCTATGTGTCACTGTGACAGTAACCTGTGGTGAATCTCCAAGATAAAAGGAGGCAATATCTCTTGCCAGCTGTACTACTGAGTGGCACTGCTTTCCATTCTAGACTAAGCATTTAATCAATCATTTAAGTGGAATGAAAGATGCCAACATAACAGTAAAAATGTGAACAGAAAGGGCAACATGCAACCATGCTGTACATAGTCTGAATGATAAAACCAAACCCTCTCCAGCCCTCCCCTAAAAACCAACCACTTACCCACTGGCAAACATGTCTAGTGCAGACACATGTAGCTTCTCCCTCTCAGTCAGTGGTTGCGATTCTAAGAGTGCCATCATCTTTTTCATCGCACCGTCCAGCTCTTTGTCTAACCTCACTGAACTCCCAGTGCCAATCAGAACCAAGCCATTGGCAATCACGTGTCCCATTGCTGAAGAAAGCGGCATGGAAAAATTTAGACACTATAGGTCAGGGGTAGGCAACCTATGGCACGTGTGCCGAAGGCAGCACGTGAGCTGATTTTCAGTGGCACTCACACTGCCCATGTCCTGGCCACGGGTCCGGGACGCTCTGCATTTTAATTTAATTTTAAATGAAGCTTCTTAAACATTTTAAAAACCTTATTTACTTTACATACAACAATAGTTTAGTTATAGATTATAAACTTGTAGAAAGACCTTCTAAAAACATTAAAATGTATTACTGGCACGTGAAACCTTAAATTAGAGTGAATAAATGAAGATTCGGCACACCACTTCTGAAAGGTTGCCGACCCCTGCTATAGGTAATTTAGCAGGTGCAGAAGCTCTAGGCTAAACTATTGAGATAAGTTTAAATGAGAGCCACAGGTAGTAGATGGCAGTAGTGCTAGAGACTGGTTAGGATCCCACAGAAAGCCCAGGCAGCTAAGGAACAACCATACATTAAGGGCTTGTAGCACTTCAATGAAGACACTACCTATGCTGATGGGAGGGGTTTTCCCCATCAGCATAGGTAATCCACCTCCGCAAGAGGCGGTAGCTAGGTTGGTGGGAGAATTCTCCTGTCAACCTAGAGCCGTCTACACTGAGGGTTAGGTAGATTTAACTGTGTTGCTGGCAGTGTGGATTTTTCACACCCCTGGGTGATGTAGTTATACTGATCTAATTTTCTAGCATAGACTAGGTCTAAGTTACTAGCAGGAATCTAGAATTTTCCTTTTAAGCAAAGCTTTTACTTTCAAATTCTTCTTTAACACCCCTAAACCCCCACAAACAACCACCTTGTTATTAGGAGCAGTTAATCAATGCTGCCTTTGTCCCCTCCTTAAGCAGAGCTTGTGATCCTAATTGCTCACTGTACTCTATAATGACCCATGTACAACAGGATGGAATAAAGATCACAGAAACTATTTTAGGACAGGCCAGAGGCAACAACAGAGGAGAATTAACAGTCTGCCCAACACCAGAATAGCAGGGGTGGAGAACACCCTACTTAAGTGCAAGGCACTTCTAAGAGTTACTTTACAATGAAAAGAGGAAAAGCAGATGTGCAAAAGGATTAAGAGAGGTGGAGCAAGAAGATGGGCATAAGGTGGCTCAGGACTTGTGGACCATAAAGCTACTTTCATTGGCTGTGATGTATAACACACATGGTGCATTTACATTGCAGCTGGAAGAGTGCTTCTCAGCTCAGGTAGATAGACACACACTAGTTCTGCGTGAGCTAGTGCCCTAAAAATAACAGTGTAGCTGGGGGTAGCACAGGCAGTGGCTCGGGCTAGCCATCTGAATACAAACCTATCTGTGAGTACATACCTGCGGGCACATACCTGGGCAGCTAGCCTGAGCCGCCACTCGTGCTACACCCAGCTACACTGCTACTTTTAGCATGGTAAGTTGAGCAGAGCTAGTACATGCCTGTCCACTCAAACTGGGAAGCACGCTCCCCACTGCAGCGTAGACATGCCCACAGAGAAGCACATTCCTTTGGGGCTGCATAGGCCCAACTGTCTCTCCACAGGGTAGGGCTGTCTCGATACAGGAATATTCCCCCCAGCATTCCTTTCTGGGGACAAGTCTTTAAAATTTGGCAATTAAAGTTGCTATTTTGCTACTGGCAGGCACTCTACCTCTGGTACATTCCCTGCCTTGTTATTTCTGCGTAGATGTAATGTTCACACACACTGCCCAACAGGGAAGCCATATTTGTTTTGTATATGTACAAAGATGTCAAAAAATCTTGATACAGCACAGGAAGGTGTAAAATAAACGATGACAGCTTTAAATGAAGTGTACTGTAATACTGAATGTATTCTGTTTAATTAGCAAAAATAAAATAAATGCCTGCAAGTCTCAACCCTCATGTTCAGCATCAGAAGATAGTGAGCATCAGAAGATATCCCTTCATCAGTGCCTTCAATCGGAGATTCACCACTTTCCTCTTCATATGCTTTTTCCCTGGCATTAATTTTCCTTCCATTAATCGTATCATGCTCATATGCCAGAAGGAGAAGCATGAATAGCAAGGTTTGTCTCCTCCAGTCCCTTTAAAGGCCTAACCATATACTTTCCATAATAAGGCTGAGCTCTAATACCAAATTCTCCTTCATTTCAACATGTACCATCAAGTTCTGGGACAGCTAAGAATTTTTCTTTTTAGTTGTGACATTTCTTAGTTCATAGGGTATCAATTTTTCCAACCTATTTACTATTTCTCATATTTGCTTTTTAAAAATGATCATACTCAAGGGAAGAAAAATGGCTGTCTAAAAAAAGTTCTAAATGAAAACAATCAATGTTATACTAACCCAGTCCTTCAGTTGTGTGTATGAAATAAGTTAACCATATACAACTACTGTACTGCATATCCAGCAATTAAAAAATTATACTTACTAAAAGTTGGATCTGCTGCATGTAACTTGGAGAGAGATCCTTCAATGCCCCCTAGACTCTTATCATTGGTCCATGTAGCATACTGTAAAATAGAGTGTGAAACTGACTAGAAACCAAATGAAATTTCCCTCCCACCCCCCATGGTCCCAGCTGAGTGAAATTCAAAAGTAAACAAGATCAATGGAAAAAAGTGAGACTAACTTTTTTCAGAAGTAATCATCTCTGGCCTGGTCTACACTACAAAGTTAGGTTGCAAGCTATCTTGTGTCGACCTATTTGTGCATGTGTCTATACTCAAATTTGTCTCCAGCCAACATAAGCAGGGTGCTTATCCCTGTTACAGCGGCACAGTGACACCACCTTCTGAACAGTATTGTGCCATGATCAACCTACTGAGGCTGATGCAGTGCAAATGTGGACACTGTTTGACTTACATCAACCTTAACAGTCCTCAGCAGCTGTCCCATAATGTCCGACAATGACAGTTCTGGTCACAATTGTGAACACCACTGATCAGGAGTCACAGAGACTGGAAGTCACCCACTTCCCCTTTAAAACCTCCATGTATTCTTGAAATGCCTTTTCCTGATTGCCCAGCTGGTGAGTACATCTAGCATATCTCCCTTGTTGTATGCAGCTGCCTAAATGACCATGCTGGCGCCACGCACTAGATGTGCTACTGCCTGGAGTAGGGAGGATGTGTTGGATCTCTTGGGCCTGAGGGAAGAGCAGGCTGTGCGGGCACAACTATGGACCTATCGTAGAAACATGGACATCTATGAAGAGATTGCACAGGGGAGGAAAGTGAAGAGGTATGAGAAGGATCAGCAGCACTGCTGTGTGAAAGTGAAGGAACTGTGGCAGGTGTATGACAAGACCCAGGAGGCCAACATTCTATCTGGTGCTGAGCTGCAGACCTGGCACTTTTTCAATGAGCTGCATGCCATACTTGGTGGCCACCCCACCAGCACCCAGTAGACCACTGTGGATACTTCTGAGAATCGAGACACAGACCCCTACCATGAACAGCAAGGAGGGGGAGGAGGAGAAGGGGGTCCAATTATGCCATGAGCTAGGATCTTTTTGAGACTCCACCATAGTCAAGAGCAACAAAGAGTCCTGTGGCACCTTATAGACTGACAGAAGTATCGGAGCATAAGCTTTCGTGGGTGAATACCCACTTCGTCAGACGCACGAAATTCACCCACGAAAGCTTATGCTCCAATACTTCTGTTAGTCTATAAGGTGCCACAGGATTCTTTGTCGCTTTTTACAGATCCAGACTAACATGGCTACCCCTCTGATACTTGACACGGCTACCCCTCTGATACATAGTCAAGCCAGTCCTACCAGCTAAGTATGGGTAAGAACTCAAGTAAGTGTGTGCATGCATTTTTCCTTACATGTTAAAATGTGAAGATAGCACCCGGCCCAACCCCAGTTAGCAGGACACAGATATCAACTTTTCACTGTTTTACTTGTATGAGAAGAGGTTCCAGCTCTACTTCTGTTTGTATCGCTATTTGCATTTCATTCCTATGTACTGTTAGTAATTTTGGGGGGAGGAGGGGAAAGAGGGGTGTAGCCAAAAAGGACTGAAATGGACAGGAATGTTTTCTACCTTTCTAGTTTTAAAGTTCTGTTCCATTAATTTATTTTAGAAGCTTGTATTATATTTGTTTTTAATTGCACATTATTTTCCCACTGTTTTTGGTATGCAATAAATTTCTGTTTTTTGGAATAAATTAATCTTTATTATTTCAGAACATATACTGCAGAATGCCTAGCACTACTCAGAGCACTCACTACTTATAATTGTATAGAACCCACAGAACTCACAGGATCAGTAAAAAACACAATGTAAATAATTATAAATGTACAGCAAGCACTGCATAATTCACAGGTGCATTAAAAGACAGTTGTGATATGCAGAA